GTAGGTTTAATTTTATGGAAACCTTTTTGTGTATTATCTCACCGCCTGCACTGAGATTATTTCCCGCTTCGTTGTTGTCTGACGTGTTGTTGACGTTATTGGGCAGCTGTCAGAATCGGCTGATCATTTCAGATAAACCACAGCACATCCGGTTTGCAAAGAAAAAAATATCTATATGTGATTGTGACAGATTTATGGCATTGAAAATGCGTGCATTTACTGTGTTTTTTGCATTTAATTTGGGAAAATTTTAAATGCCAGCAACATGCTTTGCAATGAACAGTACGGAATAATGTATATGTATGCAAAAAATGTATTAAAAATAGTTTTTATTTATTTAGTTTGAACATTTGCATTGAAAATTCACATTTGGCTGCATTTAATTTTTTTCAGCTTGGAACATTTTTTAACCACTTAATGCATATTTAAATACAATAAATTCACTAAAATCTACTCATAAAATTCATATTTAAATTTAAAATACGGAGGAATAGGCTATTGTGTTAATAAACTAAATTAAAATTGAAGTCTCGTTCTATTAGTTCTTTTATCAAAAATTACATTTGTCAATCTAAAATAAAATATTTCAATAAAAGTATTTCATAAAAATAAACCCATAAATGACATTTTTGTTTATTTCCCTTTTATTTAAATAAATTTCATATAAATTGATCTTTCACATTGTGTAATTGTGCGTTTAACATTTTTTTGCTGATATTCAATGTTTTTTTTTAGCCGCAAAAAGCTCTTTTGTAGTTCAAATATTGAAAAATGGGAGTTCAGAAATTCTTGCACTGTATTGGAGCTACGAAACTGTTGCGCCTATTTCACTCAGTAGTTTATCTGGTCGGGAATATTGAAAAAAAAAGTAGCTAAGCTGTTACTTAAGGCCTCCGCACTAGAACCATTTCACATCCTTGACGTCATGTAGAGAATCGTTGACAGATCTGAGGCTTCGAAGGCCGCACCAAGGTTTAGCAAAGGGATAATGACTAACTCTAGCGCTAAAATTATACTAAGCATATCCACCCTCATTGCTTCCAAGGATGATTGAGTAGAACGAATATGGAAGCAACTGGCTAGTGAGTGATCTGAACACTTCCTAAAAGTTTTATCCATTCCTCATTATGCGGTGTCTGGCGGACGGCGAGTTGGAATCATCTAAGCCATTTCAGTTCTGCAGTTCTGCTTCCACACGCGTCTAAGGTAAATATACTTTTTTGCTTGCAGTTTTATAAGTGAAAATTATGGCATCATAAATTAGTAACAGATAATATTCTAAGTGAGTTAGTCGGAACGAAATGATTTTGTTATTAATGAGAGCATTTCAGTATTGAAAAAAAAAAATTTCAGGCTTCGATGGCAAAAAAAAAACTTCTGGCATCGATGGCATTCACCCAAAATCAAGCGAAATATTTTGCCTTCGATCTTTTGAAAAATAAAGAAAATTGTGGATTTACCGTTGTTTTATTTTCTTTGTCGTGCAAAATAAAATTTTTGCCGAAAATGTGCGGAGTTTTGAGTTGATTAATCTTGAAATATATGTACGATAGATGTTTTGTATATACGAGTAAGAATTACTAAATTCACTAATTCTACTTCAGAAAAAATGATGAGATTTTGCGTGTCTAGAAACCCAGAATAACTTAAGCGTCTGCGTCAATGTATCCATATAAGGTGTGTTCTAATTTTTATGCATTCCTAACAACAGCTGCCGTCACAATGATGCAATCGATTGGAAGACAAACTCCAGTTGAGCGCAAAATTTATTGGTTGAACAGCCTTTGGTTGTACTCACAACCCGAAGCTGAAAAAGTGGAGTTAATGAGGAGTTTTTGGGGAAAAACAATACAGTTATATAAATATATGTACATAATATACTCAGCTTGCCTATGCTTTGTAAGTGTTTGAAGGGGAATACACTCCTTTGAGCGAGTGAAAGTGATTTAGAAAGAAGAGTTTACTTACTTCAGGATAAAGCAAGTGATTTTCTTCTTTAGTAACGTACAGCATGTGATTCGAGATTAGTTTATAAATTGGTTTAGCGGTAATTTCCCAAAACTAAATATGATTAAATTAAAAAAATACTATTTAAGCTATAATAATTTGCCTTTATTGTTTTAAGACTTAAAAAGAATTAATAATAAAAATGCTAAAAATATCTGTAGATCCTTCCTTAACCGCTCCTTGTCTCAACCTAAGCACAACAGTCACCAGAGCTCCTTATACTCGGGTATCGAGCACCATTAGCAGTTCGATACTCGTTCGTTCGTTGTTCAACTGCCCAAATGATAGTCTGAAAGTTTTAAAATTTCAATTTTGTTTGCTAAAATTTCAATGAGTTTTACACTTAACAAAAATAAAAAAAAAAAATTATAGAAGAAAGTTCTGGGGAAAAAAGTCAAATTTGTTTGCTTTAAACTGCTCAAGGCAATTTACATACTTTACTAGCAAGCATACAAAAACAAAAATCCTCTGTGTTTTGTTTGTAATCGCAGTTTCGAAAAGTCAAAAACAACATTCGTTCAATGTACTTTGTTTGTGTAATTTGTTGCAATGGAAGGAAGAACAAAGAATGATATGATGTGACAATTTTACTTTCTATAAACTCGCCTTGAAAATTATCGAAAAAGCTCGAATTAGCCGAGATCAAGCTCGAAAGTTGCTCAAATGCTCGAGCAGCTCGAAAATGTTCGAACAAAATCTTGAGCTCTGGTCAGTACCTCATTGCACATAAATATTTCTAAACCATTAAAATAATATTTTCGGAATTAATAGCTTAGAGAATCTTAAATAGTCTTCTGCTCTTCGGAAAATATTTTTGTGTGGTATTAGTTAAATTTTTTTCTTTAGCATTGCCACCTACATAGATATCTATTGCTGCTATTTTTATAGCTGCACTTATGGTTCTTTTATGACTGTAGTTCGCAAATTACTCATCAGTTTCGAGCAAGAGATTGTTTATAGAGACAATATATGTACAAATGTATGTATCTAGGAAAAATGTAAAGTTTGTAGAAATGATGAATAATATTAAATGATGAATAATATTAAATGAAAAGAGCATTTCAGAATAAAAATTCTTATCATTTTCACTGGAATTTATGTGGAGCAAATTTTCCAACAAAATTAAAAAAGAAAGATATTTTTTTTATTTAAACAAAATATAACAAAATAAAATTAAATAAAAAAATTAAATGAAAAAATTAAATTAACTTAAAATATAATAAGAAATGTTTTCTAAAGTGTCTTATTTGATTTATTTTCCTACAGTTGTTGAGTACAACGACTCAATTGAGAATATCATGATAACAAAATTCTATGAGGTATTTTCACTATGTAATTTGTGTGTGTGTGTGTGTGTGTGTGTGTGTGTGTACGAAATTCCATAACAAAATACATTCATAACATTTTACATTTCAGTGCATAAGTACTATATATATATTCATTTTTCCGAGTGATAGTGAGAGTATCTCTGAAGCGCCAACTACAGACGAGACACTTTATCTTCTCTGTTATTTTTTTCCAACACATTAATGTCATGGGAGAAGTGCTTACAGATACTGGCAGACCTTTCAGTATTGCTCAGCATCAATTTACACAGGCTTATAAATACAAGCTGCTCTAAAAACTGCGAAGAGGTGGTATGCCGATCCTCTTTTCGTGGGCATTTTCCACGATTTAGCGTAGAGTGAATATCTTTTTCATTATGGGTCAGCTCTAAATCCGCACTGATTACACATTTTTTGTAATAACTTTCCAAAGAGAAGTATATAGGGAATTTTTGATGCATACCATTTGCACAAAAATCAATATTTTACCGGAATCTCTAGCTTTTCCATTGTAAAGAAGAGGGAGAAGATTTTTTATTTTGCTTTTTTTTATTTTGCGCCCTGTAAGCTACATACGCCAGAGCATTTAAAAGGAAAAATAGAAATTTAAATATCTACATATATATATATAAATGTATAAAATATTTTTTGCTGCAATTTTTTATGTTCTTATTTCAATATAAGATCAATAACTTCATTATCAATAATCATTATGCTCGTATACCATTTTCATTCGTAAAAACCTTTGTGAAAATAGGTTTTTTGGCGTTTACAGTGGTGTTACCACTTAATAGGTGAAAAGGTTTTATTATCATATTAAAAAATCATAAATAGAATTGCACCTGCGCCCATCACTTACAAAACACATTTTGAAGAGGAATTTTTATGACTTCTGCCTACAAGGACTACACACGCGATATTGAGTCTCCTTGAGAAAAAATGCTTTGTTCAGCATAGCAAAGTCGTTAAAAAGCAGGATATAAAATAGCTGTAATAAAATTGTTATATTATATAATAACTAAACATAAATCACATAAAAAGTTGAATTAAAAAATCCAACTGAGAATTTTGTGCAAGTACAGCGAAGGTGGCAGAGTCAATAAATTCTACGTTTTCGATTAGGATTTTTAGCTGAAAATGGTTGTGCTGACCTTTTCAAACTCAACAGTTGTAAATTTATCACCGAAAATATACTACTTATGAGCGAATCATAATAAAATTCCGCCTACAATCGAACCCACATTCCAATACCTGCACCAAAAACAAAAAAAAATAAAAAAAATAAAAAAAATAAAAAATTATAAAGAATAAAAAAAAAAACGGGAAAATGAGTGAAGAAAAAGGTGCGCAGCGAAAGGATGAATAAAGAAGGAGGCATATTTATTAAATGCAAAAAAAATTATTGTCTTCACCCGGAAGGCATGACGAATTACAAGCAGGTATTATGTACATAAATTGGCGACAGCAGTTGCCTGGTGAAAGGCCAAAAGACACGCTGCAATACAAAAGGAAATTCACAAAAAAAAGGGAAATGAAAGGTTATACGAGTATACCATATGCTGCACGAAAGGTCAAAGTTACAAATTTATTTATATAGTATATCACAGCATGTCGCTATATGTATACATATATACTTGTACATATATGCGTATGTATGAAACAACTCACCGTTGTGCCATCGTAGCCATTCGTTAGCAGTTGTATATCGATTTCAATATCCAAATCCACTTTGGCAGTGGTCAATTGAAGCGGCAAATGATCGGATGAGGAGATATCTGCAGCGTTTGCACTCGAACTCGCGCTCGCGCTCGCGATTCCCGGCGCTCCACTACTTTCTACACTGCCGAGACCCATTAAGATGGCAAAGTTACTGTGATTACTTCTACTGCCTAACGTCGCTGTTGCTGTTGTTGTTGCTGTTGCTGCCGCCGCGACTGCTGCTGCGGCTGCTGCTGCTGCTGTGGCAAAGGTGGTAACTGTAGCTGATGTTGTTGTTGTTGTCGTGGCAGCAATAGCTGCCAACGCGGCAAGTGTTGAGCTTGTAGTCGCGGACATTATTCTGTATGCACGCCTATTTATGTGTTTGCGGGTGTATATATGTATATAAATATCTGTGTGTGAAAAGCAAGTACACTCCTTTGCTGAAGTATTTTTTGAGTGTATGTGTATGTGAGTTTGCGATTTTTTTATGGTAGCAACAAGGTCACACGGTGTGGTGGGAAGATTTGTAAGACTAGAGGGAAAATTTCACTTGTTGTGCTGCTTTTGTTGTAGACAGATGTTGTATTATATATGCAGTGCTCCTGCGTTTTACTGCTCGGGAATTCACTGGGCTGCTAATGCAATTAATTCGCGTGTAATTTTAGTATGAGAGAGAGAGAGAGAAAGAGAGAGAGAGAGAAAAAAAACAAATCGAAAACTATATTTTTTACGTGCGCTGAATTATTAACGCGCTCGCTGAAGAATCATAAAAACTTGCAACACTACGAATACGCATGGCAGCGTGCGACGGTTTCTTCAAATTGTGTTTTATTTTTTATATTTTTACTTCCGCTTAACAGTAGTTACACTTGTGCTACACAACTATGCACATTCACAATGCACAGTTCACCTCTGCCACAATTCACTTTATACACTTTGCACTTTACGCCCCAAAAGGCACTTATACACATACACATTTCCTATCGTGTTCATATTTTCTCACATTCATTATGATTTTCGCTTTATTGCTTACATATATTCTGTTGACAGTGTGAGGGGTGCGTAGGTGGACGTGGTGGTGGAAGCTTGCGACACTGGAAGATATTTTTGTCCTTCACTCAGTTTGAGTTTCCTTTGTTTTTGTTGTATTTAAAATGACACAGTTTTAATTATTCGCGTAAAAATTTTTTCCATAGTAAATTTAAAGCCACATCCTGAAAGAAAAGAGAGGCAAACAATTCATTATTTTCAATGTTATTAAAATTTAGTTTTAAAATGATTTATATACATATTTAATGGATTTTGGATTGTAAAAAAGTAATTAAGAAATAAAGTTTTTAGAAGCAATAATCCCAACTATTGACCACCCAGCCCACCCCAACTCCACAAGCGGCACGCAGGTCGCCAGAAGCATAACGCCGAACTTGCCGCGTCACACAAACCAAGAATTTCTTAAATGCTTGGAGCAAAAACAAACAAAAAATGTTCAACTACTGAAATTTAGTATTTAGAAATTTTCAAAATTTAATTTTTGAGAGAAGCAAGAATATTTTTATTTACTGCTAAAAGTGGGACTGAGAGATCAATAGTACTAAATTGAAATTTAAATTCATTACACAGTAGACTAAATGGCTCACTTGGTGACCGCCATCAGCACCACTATTAAAGCAGTGCGTAGAAGCTCATCATTCAGTTGACTAGTTGTAAAAATCTATCTAAGTTTCTGCTTTACGACATTGTTAGTATAAAACGCTAATATGTTTTCAATCAAAGTGAAAGTGTTAGACATGAGTATCGTACACTGACTTGAACTCTCTCTCTCTCTCTCTCGGTGCCTTTAAAGTTTTTGCCGTTCTCACTCCACATCTCCAATGGGCTCCTTCTGTGGATTAAGTAATTACGTACAGACAAAATGCAAAAGTCTACTGACAGTTTCAAGGTGTACAAATCAGATTGTTAAAAAAGTGAACAACACTCCGTATATATAATCGGTGCTTTTCTTGAACGCAACAAATTGTGAGCTAAAGTAATCAACGCCTACATAGGTATATGGGCAACCAATTGCTGAAGTGCGGGTTGGAGGCAAACAAGCGATCTCAGATGGTCGAAGCTGAATGGTTCTGTTTTCACAAATCTAATAAATACGTCCAAATTGTTTAGTCATTGTACGAAGTTTTATGATTCCATCGTTGATGACGGTCACCAAGTTATTGTGGCGCTACTTCACATCAAAATGGTTTATGCTATGGATTATAAATATTGCAAGTTTGAATTTTAAGGTTCAAACTATACATACATGTGCATATGTCAGATATAATTTTTATTTAAATTCACTATTCTTATAAATAATAATAAAATACATGTCTTCACTGTTGCACTGTTGAAAGTGTACGGTTGTTGTCAAATATGGCTTTTTGCGTCCGTCGTTCGTTTCGTTATTTTCCTTAGTCATGTCAGCAGGGTTGCCAAGTAAACGTTCCCACATTAACGTGAATTGCTTTTATGTATTTGCGGTTAATGTTGGTAAGACGGGGTGTAGGCGACTTTACCATTCCGATGGAGTTTTGGTTACTAAAAATGACTCTCCTATATCTGGAAGATGTACGTGACGGATAAGTTGGTGTTGCAATAAATTGAAAAAAGTATTGTTGTAAGTGAAACCACTCATATTTTATTGCAGAATATTGAATTTATTTATTTTGTTTTTGCTTTTTAACTCGTAACTTGTAGTATTGGCGGTTTCTTGGTATTTTATGGCTTGGTTTTTTCTGGCGATACTGGCCGTTTTGTGGTCTCTGATGTGGATACTGATGAAATATCATTGTTTTTAATGTTGTTTAAGTAGTATTAGAGGTAATTTGTGATCATAAATTGTGGTTCATTTTAGTAGTTATTGTTATGTTTGATGCGTTAGTCTATCAGTCTTTGGAATTTCGTCTTCTGGACGGATTTAATTATATACCTTGAATGATTCCTCTAGCTTGCGTTTGTAAATGGTTTTTAATTTTTTTTTTTTTTTTTTGTTGCTTAAAGTTAGTACAGTCCTTATCAGAGAGTTGATGTTCATCTCCACAGTCTTCACGTTGTTTCCGGCACAATCTTCTTCTGAGTGTGGGTGAGGATGTAACCCACTTCCTTCGCAGTTAGTGGCATTTTCACAATCATTTTTTATGTGTCCTAGGCGTTGGAAATTACGGCACCGCGTTTGGTTGGAAAAGTAGTAAAAGTAGGGTTTTTTATAAATTGGGTTGTGGTAAATTTATATACTTTCAATCATTGCCTTTATTTATTTAGATTTCTTATTCATCTACTTTGAATAAATAAGTTGTGAACACTGTTCTCTTAAAGGCCTTAAATTTTCATGTAGTTTAACTATGGCAATATTGCTAAGATCGGAGAGCGATTCAGTTTTCAAAAAATTTTTCAGCGATTTTTGCTTATTTGATATCGTCAACTTGTGTTGATATGGCTCACGCCAAAGTATTTTTTTTGCAGGAATCATCCTTTCTATATATTTTAAAAAAATTTCAGACTGATGAAGGACAATATGAATTCATCATTTATTTCACTTCATTTCGTTTCTTAGTAACCACAACTGACACATTTCTTCATTGAACTTACTTAAACCATCGCTTAAGGATATATTAAGCTACAAACGCATGAATAAAATTAGCTAAGTCCTAATTTGAAATGCGGTCACGGTTGTTGATAATCATGATAAAGTTGTCATGTTGAAAATCAATAAACCCAAATTATTACATTATTTTTGCCTAAACTGATTTAAATCAGAGTGAAATTGACTGACGAAATAAAAACAACGCTATTTCTAAGCTCAACAAATGTATGTGTGTAAATATAAATCATTTTTAATGGCAAGAGATTTTTATCATTAATTAATTCACATACAAATCTACTTATGGAAATGAAGTAGAACAAAATATATTTAACAGCAATAAATTTGATAAAAAGTAAAATTGCGAAAAACAAACTAAAAAAACCCCTGCACCTAAACACATTAAATACGGACAACTTTCAATGGTTTTGCATTTTCCACGCCAGTTTCCGTTGTTTGCAATAATTTCCGTTTGCTTTTCCCGCACTCGTAATGGGTACTTGAATAATTTTTATAGCATGCGATAGAATTTATGTTCTTAAGCGATTTTTTTCGTGTTTAATACTTTTAACGCTTTTTTGTAAACGTAGTTTAGCATAAGTAAATGTAAAATTGGTAAGATCATATATATAATAAAAGTAAAACAAAATAAACTAAAAGTTAATTAAAATAAAATAAAATTAAAATACCTTAAATGAAGTAAACTAAAACTAAAATAAATAAAACAAAATGAAATAAAATAAAATTTAATAAAACAAATTAAATAAAATGAAATAAAGTAATGGGGAAGAAAGTTAAATTAAATAAAATATAAATAAATAAACTCAAAAAACATAAAACAAAATGAAATAAAATTATTTTTAATTAAATGAAATAGAATAAAAAAATAACTAAAAAATTAAAAAAAAATTTAAGAAAACTAAAAAAATAAATTAAAATAAAAATAAAAAAACTAAATAAAGTAAAATACAATAGAATAGAATGAAAGAAGGTAACATAGAATAAAAAAAATTAAAATAAAATAAAAAAAATAAAATAAAACAGAATAAAATAAAATTACAAAATAAATAATATTAAAAAAAATATAAAACAAAATAAAATAAATTTGAATTATATTAAATTATATTAGAATATATAAAATAAAAAAATAAATTAAATTAATAAAATAAAATAAAATAAAATAAAATTAAATAAAATAATACATAAAATAAAATAAAATGGAATAAAATAAAATAGAATAAATTAAAATAAAATAAAATTTAGCTAAATTTTTATTGGAGTTAATTTCCTATAACTTTTGGATGATGATATTTACAAAAGCTTTCATTAGTTTTTAGACTACACCACTGTGCAACGCAACACGTAATTTACACTTTATTATACTGCTATAGTTTGCGTGTGGCTGATTACTATTTCTCACCACACATCCGAAATGCCGTGAAATTGCAACTTTTTGTATTTGAGCTTGGAAAGCTGAACCTTTCGGAAAGTGCATACACGCTTAACGTGTTTGTATTGTGTAAAAAAAAAATGTCTTCCCTTGTTTAAACATATTTCG